GTTCGAATATTAGATTGTCATAGTACTGGAGTATACATAATGCCTTCCTAGGTATATGTATATTCATAGAACTTGATATAGATTTACACATAGACTTGTAATTCAAGTGACTAGTTGCAAACTGCTCCTCAGATATCTAATATGCGCCGGAAATCTCATTTCTAAGCAGCTTTAACACTAACGCATTCTCTGTTTAAAGGCAGGTTCCAATTGTGTTCTTAGTATTAGCTAAAGCAAATTGGAACTAGTTATGAACTAGTTGGGAACTATTCGAATGGAATATTTTGCATGATAAACACTGTGTTTTATTTCAATATGCCATTGCTTGTCAATTTTGAACTAGTTTAATTGTAACTAGTTGGGAACTAGTCGTTTTATATTGTCATATTTTTAAAATGTTGCATCATTTCTCTGACCTTTCCTTATAGAAATACTAAATAAAATTGTACTATTCCATTTATAAGCCAATTAGGACTAGTTCGGGGGTTAGTTGCAATCTTATTTAAACAAACAATTAATCTTGCTATTTTAACAGGGCATTTGCGTTCGTCCCTTACATACTTACCTATGTGTTTACGAATACAGTTACTTATGCATGTACTCTTACTTATATTATAGCATAAATTTCACTTTAATAAATATATTTAACCATAGACAACATAGATTTTCATTATCAAAATATGGACCATTTATATCAAACACACACATCCACACACATGCACATACGAAAACATGAAAATAGAGCTTAGAATAATAATATTAGTAGCACAAGAGCAAAATATTTCAGGCAGCCTTAGCCTGCGACATGCCGAGCTAGACGAGTAGCAGCAGGAGCAGCAGGAGCAGCAGCACTTGGTGAAACTCGAGACTGATGCCAAGGCAATACAACACAATAAAATACAATAACATAAAGGCAGCAAAAACAATACAAACTAATGCTGTAAATGTGTGACAATATAGCAAGCCATGCCGAGCGTTGTAGTAGGCAAAGCCAGCAGGTCCTGAACAAAGAAAACAGTTGGCTGTTAAGAAAAGTACGAGAAAAAAACGAAATAAAATCACAAGCTGTGCGACGACTGCTGCTGCTAAAAGGAGCAACGGAAAATGCGAAGAAAAACATGAAAAAATAAAACTGATGTTTTGATGATGCTCCATAGTTACAAAATAGTTTTCACGCGTGTGTGTGTGTTTTTATGTATTTGTGTGTCAGCATGCGAGACTGTGGTGAGTTTCACTTGCGCACAGTTATGACAACAGCTGCTTGACAAGTCACGCGGCTTCCTAAAAGCAGACCACAATATACTACTACAAAGCGCACATACACACACTAATAATACATCATCATATATGTATATACTTTTGAAGGTTTGTGTATGTGACTGGCAGGCACTCAGCAGGCGCAAAGTAGAATAAATGTATTTATGGTGACTTTAATAACGTACAACTATGTATGTGTATGTGAGCACTCACACACACGCACACAAACTTATATAGCTGAGTACCTAATATAATGAAATCAGCTCTTCAACAAAGTATACTTCTAGCCGAAAGTATAAAATTGTTGAATAAAGTTGTATATTTTCAGAGAGCTAGAGAGAGAGAGCGCATAAAAATAGCGCTCCTTATTTGAATGCTCACTTTTATTTGAATGTTGAGCCTAAAAGTGTTTACTTGCAACCCAACATGGCTTTGGGGTRAAATTTCCCAGTTTTTTAGTCTACGTCTAGTTTTGGGTATTTTTTTTTTGCGCTCGCCAGCAGCAGCTTAGCTGAGCGCATGTATAGAGCAAATGTGAACATAAAACATTTACTTCAGTTAAAGAATTTCATAGTTAAGCAGGCACACACACACACACACAAGTCGATAATACTGCACATAATGCTCCTAGATTGCTAGTTAATTAGGCTTTGTTGTTATATTGCATATTTAGAGGTTTGTTTGCTTGAGTGTGGGTATTAGCAAATTCGTGGAAATCATTTTTTAATTACAGTTGTCATATACCATTGCTTTTCAATATTGAATTGTGCTAAGGTATCCCAGAAAATATTGGTTTTAAGTCCGAAATATAATAACTCAAGCAATCGTTTCTGGGTTGGTTAGTAATTCTGAGAATGCTATTAATTACTGTATGCCTTTATGTGCAAGAGTGTGAGAAATGAGAAATTGTTTATGGAAAACTTCATGATATTTTAAAATTCTTACTGAATTTTGCCTGAAAGTTGAAAAATTTTGTTGAGTTGACATTTCTTGTTATTTGTTGAATGGCTTTGGATAATATTGAGTTAGGAAAGGAGCTTGGTTAGGCTCACATACGAGTTGATTGACTGATAAATAATTATCGGCGGTATTGTTGTCTTGTAAAAGGCTTTTCATTTTTTTAATTAATTAATTTTAATT